CCCTGGAAGAGTCAGTGTGATCAATCCCCTTCTCATTAAGAGGGCCAAATAATTATCATATATTTTTGCATAAAATAGGCAATAAAATAAAATGTGTGTGGAACTGGAACCAGTTTTCTGTCCTATGAAAGGTACGGTGACCTTTTTTTGCTGATGCAAAGATGACTCCACTCTACAAAGCCACTGAAATCCAATCCTCCTAACCTCCTGCTGCTGCTGACAGGCAGCCAAATCAGCCTTTCAGCTGCCTATGAATCGTAACAGCACAACAACAGACCCAATGCATGATGCTCCAGGCTTCAGTCATATGGGACAACCTCCTCCTGCTCTTAGCCAGCTTAACTGTATCAAGCCAAGCTGTTGGATGACTTGATGGAGGATAGAACCTCTGGCTTCCTTCCAGAAGCTGAGCTGAGCCAATAGCTGACTGGCTGAGGTAGGCATTGTAATTCAGGGGCTGCTTTCAGTCCAAACTTCTTCATACTTCACCTCTGTAGCTGACAATGGTCCATGGATATTAGTAACAGCAGTGGGCCATCACTTCATCTTCAATGGCTTTGACAGAAGAGACAGTCACACCAACTGGAAAAGTTCAAGACTGCTGGAAGGATAACAATATCTTGTAGGGGGGAAATGTTTTGTTTGCATATTTAAGAGAACTAACTTAGTTTGCATCTCCTGGACAAGTACTGGGGATCAGAACATAGATTTTGCACTTCTCAAAATTGAGCGCTACAGTCTTCTGCTAAAAAATAGCATACAAAAATGTGTAAAAATGCATATTTTAGGATAAAATACATTTTGAAAGGTGTACACTGAGATTAAAAAATGAAATAATATTTTGGGATGAAACATGTTTTTAAGTATGTGTTTAAATACTCAAATACAAACTCTTGTATGGATTTTTATTTTTATTTATTTGCAGATCATTGCGGAATTGGGACAGAATGCATTCTGCACACATGCAGAAACTGACACAAATTGCAAATAGGCTGATCTGTCCGTCCCTTTATGGTCTGTTTAAAGACCATTTTGAGCAGGGAATTTAAGGAACAAGTATACCCCTTGAAGTAGACTTCCTGAATTTGTAATCATCTTATAGGATTGGAGGATTATAGTTGGGAACCATCATGGGATGTTTCACATGCACCAAGAAAGTAAGGCCCAAACCAGTGGCTTCAAATTACAGGAAAGGAGATTCCAATTAAACATTAGGAATAACTTTCTGATGGAAAGAGCTGTTCAACAGTGAAACAGACTACCTTGGCAGGTGGTAGATTTTCCTCCACTGGAAGCCCCCCCCCAATTTTTTATTCATTTCATAACACAAATAAACAACATAAACAGAAAAACAAACAATACAAACAAATTCTTGTCTTATCCTTATTTTTTCTAGACATTGTTAGGTGAGCTTCCCCAAGTCCCCCCATCTGATTTTCATTTTACCTCATCTTTTGAAGTTTACACATATCATAATTTTTAACCATTTTTAATCATACTTACTTTTAAAATCTTCACATTTTATCCCTTACAAGTCATACTATTTTAAAATACACTATCTTCTACTTCTAACCCTACAGCCTATATCCACTTCCAAAGCTATTCTAAGATTTAAATATTAACATATTTTTTCCAAATATTCTTTAAACTTCTTCCAGTCTTCTTCCACCATCTCTTCTCTCTGGTCCTGGAGTCTCCCAGTCAGTTCGGCAAGTTCCATATAGTCCATCATCTTCATCTGCCATTCTTCGATAGTTGGTAAATCTTGTTTCTTCCAATTTTTCGCTAGTAATATTCTCGCAGCTGTTGTGGCATACAGGAAAAAAAGTAACATCCTTTTTGGAGATTTCACCCCCCACTATACCAAGTAAAAAGGCTTCTGGTTTCTTAATAAATGTGTTTTTCAACACTTTTTTCAGTTCATTATAAATGCTTTCCCAGAAGTCTTTTACCTTGGGGCACATCCACCACATGTGGTAAAAGGTTTCTTCTTTTCCCCTCCACTGGAAGTTCTTAAACAGAAGCTAGGTGGCCACCAGTCAGGGATTCTTTAGGGATTCTGATTCCTGTATTGCAGGGGGTTGTATCCCTTCCAACTCTACAGTTCTATGGTTCTATGGGGGAAAAAACCCATGAATGAGCACACACAGGATAACAGTTGCATCAGAGGGGATGGACTTCTGAGATGAATAAGCAAGGCACATTATACATTTTCTGAAACAGAGGTGTGGGCGTTTGCAACAGCTGCTTCCATTAGCAACCTAGATAAAGGCAAGTTTGGGAAAGGCAGTGCATCTGAAAAAGAGATGGCCTCCTCGCCCCCCCCCACTTCAAGTTGTATCCTTGAAATCACTAGTGATCCCCCCCTCATTTCCCTGTTGCATACATTGCCATGGAAACCGAAGGCTCAGGACCCCTGTAGCCTCTTGTATTGTCCGTGACAGAATTGGTGGTGCTGCTTGTTGTGGCTGCTTGACCTTTCTGTGTTTTTTTTTTCACCAGACACACTTTTTTTTATTAAAGATTTTCTTGATTTACAAAAGTGTGTGCAACGTCTCTCTCTTGTATTTCCCCCCCATGTAACATTTTTACAGATCAGTTTCATTTGTTGAGACATTAGGAAGAATAAGGGGAAAGAGATGGAGGGGGGCGGAAAGGTGAGTGGGGGTGGGGGGCGATGTTTCTATTTTACTTACTGTAATATATGTGGGATTTTGTGTCAGCGTTGCTTGTGCAGGTTCTTTGCTGCTCACTTATGTTCCTTTGGTGGTGAGAGAGGTTGGGGTTGGCCTAGGGTGTCGTTGTTTGTTTGTGATTGGCTGTGGTGATCTTTGTTTTCATGTGTGACTGGGCTGGGTGGGTGTTTTGGATCAGGTTAGCCATATTGATTTGTATGCTGTTGGTGGATTTTTGTCATTGTCTTGTTGGGCTGTGCATGTGATAAAGGGGAGCCATACCGGGGTGAAGGCGTCTTCTTCTGTTTGTCCCTGTGTCAGTTTCAGTTTATTGGTTAATTTTTCTAGAAGGGCTGTTTCCCATACTATTTGGTACCATTGGTCCATGCTTACTCCTGACAGGTCTCTCCAGTGTCTGGCTATGATGCTTCTGGCTGCTGAAAGTAGGTGGGTTATAAGTTCTTTGTGGTGTAAGTGGGCATTATTGTCTTGGAAGATGTTTAGGAAGGCCAATTCTGGGGTGATTTCTAATACTTGCTTGGTTATTTTACTTATTTCTCGTATGGTTGTTGTCCAGAATAGTTGGATTTTGAGGCACTCCCACCACATGTGGAGGTATGTGCCTGTGGAGGTGCACCCTCTCCAGCATTTTGGTGAGGTTCCTGGGCGTATTAGCTCTAGTTTTCTTGGTGCTAGGTACCACCTGTAGGTGAGTTTCAGAGTGAGTTCTTTTCTTTTCATTGATATGGATTTAAAGGGGGGTTTAGACCACATTCTGGTCCATTGAGTGGGGTTAATCTCATAGCCTTTGTCATCCTCCCATTGTTTTTTGATTGTGTCTAGGGAGTTTGTGGGATTTTGGAGTAGTACTGTATTTTTCACTCCATAAGACGCACTTTTTTCTTCCTAAAAAGTAAGGGGAAATGTCTGTGCGTCTTATGGAGTGAATGTGTGGTCCCTAAAGCCGAATTGCCCAGGGGCGAAAAGCATGATCTAAGGTGCTACTGGAATGATTTTTTTTATTTTGTTTTGACTACGGCAGACCAACATGGCTACCTACCTGTAATTAAAATGTATGTATTGGTGAAAATAATTACTTACTAAAGTGCATTATGTTAGAGGAATTTGATTTTTCCTATAAGACCAATTGCAGTCATTAACAGTTGTCAACAGGTTTACCACACCTATCAGCCAATCACCCATTCCTATCACCCTTCTGAGTAAAACCCCTCCTCACCCTCTCACTATATATAAGGGTCTGGTGACTTCTGTTTCAGTGTATCTGAAGAAGTGCGCATGCACACGAAAGCTCATACCAATAACAAACTTAGTTGGTCTCTTAGGTGCTATTGGAAGGAATTTTTTAATTTTGTTTCGACATACATTATAATGCGCACTTTGCCCCATCTTCTGCGGCCTTCTAGGGTTGCCATATGTCCTCTTTTTCCAGGACACGTACTCTTTTTCATGATGAGAGTCATCATAGAGATCCATAGTTAAAAGTAGCAAATATGTCCTCTTTTTGCTCTTTGAAATATGGCAACTCTACATTAGTCAACCCTCCCAGTTTGGTGTCCTCTGCAAATTTGATGAGCATCCCCTCAATACCTTCACCCAAGTCATTTATAAAGACGTTGAACAACAATGGGCCCAGGACATCTGGATAGGCTTGTCTAAACAAAGATGTTTTCAGATGGTGGTGTTGATGTTGATGATAATTCTTTTGCTCCTGTTTCTCTGGTTGTCCTCCCTTGCCAATGTGACTCAGGCTGGAACGATGAAGGCAACAGAACCTTCTGCGAGGCAACATCAGCATTATAACCATTGTTAAGTGCAGCTGTCGATTGACTGCTATTGAAGATTCTGAATGTTTCTCTCCCTGCAGCACCCTGCCCCAATCTCCAACCCCAAACCCTGTAATTTTGTTTCTGACATGCCGCTCTTTATGCACACACCATGGCTGAGTCTCTCTGAATAACAAACAAGGGAAGAACACTGGGAATACAGGAAACTGCCTGATACAGAGTCATTGACCTATCTAGCTCAATATTGCTTACACTGACAGGCAGCAACTCTCCTGGATTTCAGACCTTCTCCTGGGGAAGGGCAAGATGGAACCTTGTGTCTTCTACATGCAAACTGGACATTGTGCCCAGCCCTGGTGTATGAACTGAAGAAGAAAGAAAGGGATGAGGATCCAAACTACCAATTTTTATTTATCTCTTTGTTTATTTTACTTATTAAATGTCTATTAAATGTCTATACCACCCTTTATCCAAAGATTACAGGCAGTTTACAACATAAAAATACAAATAAGGAGAGAACGTTAGCTCAGTCGGTAGAGCACAAGACTCTTAATCTCAGGGTCTTGGGTTTGAATCCTACGTTGGGCAAAAGGTTTCTGCATTGCGAGGGTTGGACTAGATGACTCTTGTGGTACCTTCCACCTCTACAATTCTATGTTTCTGCAATTCTATGACAACTTAATAAGAAGCAACGAAACCAATAACCCTCTCTCACAAACACATTTAAAAAGCCGTAGATGGTTCATCAGCCAAAGGCCTGGTTATAGAGAAACGTTTTTGCCTGGCGCCTAAAGAAGGTTCCAGGCAAGCCTCCCTGGGGAGAGCATTCCATAAATGGGGAGCCACTGCAGAAAAGGCCTGTTCCTGTGTTGCCGCCCTCCAGACCTCTCATGAAGGAGCTACACAAAGAAGAGCCTCAGATGATGATCACAGGGTGCCAGTCGGTTCATATGAGAAGAGGCAGTCCTTGAGGTATTGGAGTCCTGAGCCATTTTAGGCTTTATAGGCCAAAACCAGCACTTTGAATTGGGCCTGAAAACTAATTGGCAGTCAGGGCAGGATTGGTGTGATAATAATAATAATAATTTATACCCCGCCCATCTGGCTGAGTTTCCCCAGCCACTCTGGGAGGCTCCCAATCGAGTGTTAAAAACAATACAGCATTAAATATTAAAAACTTCCCTAAACAGGGCTGCCTTCAGATGTCTTTTAAAAAGAAGATAGCTGCTTATTTCCTTGACATCTGATGGGAGGGCGTTCCACAGGGCGGGCGCCACTACTGAGAAGGCCCACTGCCTGGTTCCCTGTAGCTTTGCTTCTCGCAATGAGAGAACCGGCAGAAGGCCCTTGGCGCTGGACCTCAGCATCCGGGCAGAACGATGGGGGTGGAGATGCTCCTTCAGATATACAGGACCGAGGCCATTTAGGACTTTAAAGTTCAGCACCAACACTTTGAATTGTGCTTGGAAATGCACTGGGATTATATGCTCAATCCATCTTGCGTTGTTCTGTCCACCAGATTCTTCACCAGCTGAAGTTTCTGAAACATCTTCAGAGACAGCCCCATGTATAACACATTGTAGTAGCCTGACCTAGAGGTTACCAGAGCTAGACAACAGAAGTTAGGCTATCCCTGCCCAGATAGGGGAGGATCTGGGCCATCAGCTGAAGCTGATGGAAGGCACTCTGCACCACGGAGGCTACCTGAGCCTTCAGAAATAATGCATTGAAGTGACTTTGATTAAATATACCACTGCAAACTCTTAAGTATCAATTGCAAAGTAAGTTTTTATAAGACACTGCCATGTCTTAATTCTATATTTAGAACAGCAAGCAATTTGTCCAGGTGCTATAAATGAACAACGCCAACATGCAGCATATTTTCTGGACTTGTCCTAAAGTAAAGAAACTCTGGAGGAAGATTTCAACAGAAATAGAAGCCACGGCAGGAGGCATACTGCCCATGAATTCAATAGCCACAAACCTTGGATATATCAAAGATCATAATCTTACTAGATAACAAAGAAAGGGCTATTAATATATTAACTGATGCATGAATATCCATATTTTATAACTGGGAAAAGACAAGAACTCCCACACTGGAAGACTGAACGATTACAGATTGGGTTGCAATAAATGTGAAGAAATTGACTAATTTAGTCAAAGTGAGAGAGGGCAGACAACCTTATGATTGCTTTCCAGAAAAAAAAGGAGTGTGTTTATAATGTGCTGCACTCTCAGTTTTGGATATATGTGTATCTCAAAGGACGTCAATTTGCACATTACATCAGAGTCTGCAGATTTGCCTTTAGATATGAGATGAACTTAATTTCTCCCCCCCACCCTTAACTGTTTCTGTCCAGATCCTTCTGCCTTTCAAAAACTCCCTGCATGTCGCAGTAGACAGACAGCTAGCAATGAAGTCATAATTTACCCTCTCGTTATGATGTACCAGCAATTTGTTGGGCTCTCAGGCAGAAAAGAGGCTACAGTCAAGCACAGCTGTTCAGAAGCACTTGAGTTGGGGGGTGGAGACTGGGACTCTCTGCTCTTAACTGTGGCTCTTGAGTATCTCAACTTAAGTGCAACCTCTTTGTCGCCTTTCTCTGGCAATGGCGATGCATTTTCACACACGCTGCTGATTGCAAGGAACTGAAATTTTTGACTGCTGGGGCATGTGAGTCTCCAGATGTGGTTTTAGGGTAGCTCGACTGGTGTGGCTCCAGTGCTGTGGGACAGAGTGCGAGAGGCTGGGGGGCAATGAATTTTAGCATTACACAGGGTACTGCCAAAATCTGAGAGCCCAAAGTCTGCTACTGGAGGCCTCTGGCTGTGAGAAGTCTGTGGATTTCTTTGACTCTACAGTGGTACCTCTGGTTAAGTACTTAAATTGTTGCGGAGGTCTGTTCTTAACCTGAAACTGTTCTTAACCTGAAGCACCACTTTAGCTAATGGGGCCTCTTGCTGCTGCCGCGCTGCCAGAGCACGATTTCTGTTTTCATCCTGAAGCAAAGTTCTTAACCCGAGGTACTATTTCTGGGTTAGCGGAGTCTGTAACCTGAAGCGTCTGTAACCCGAGGTACCACTGTACCTTATTCCCCCCACTGAACAAAAATAAATCTGGCTCATCACTGGGCCTGCTAGTGATATGGGCTTGTCCACAATTCCACTTGTCCTGCCCCTCCCCCCCGGGGAAAACCCACTGCTTACCACCGAATCTGAGCAAACATCAATTGGGTTTTCTTTGATTTGTTCCTCTTCAGCAGTAACCCGCAGGTTTTCCCGGGGAAGGCTGCGGGACAAACAAAAAAACTACTCAGACCTCTGACTAGAAAGCTTGGAACCAGTGAAAAACCTCCCAGACTCATGCTTTCTAAGCCCAGGGCAAGCAGAAGTCTGGGTGAGCTCTTACTGAGGAAGAGGCAGCCTCACCAGCGATGGGCAATGGCTCTCCATGGGCTCAATTTAACCTGCTTTGGTGTTTGCGTGAAACCACAAAAGACAGAGAGACGATGGTGGCTGACTAGTCATCAATCAACTGGTAGGCATGTTTCAGGAAGTAAAGGACACACACATACTCCTCAATGTTTAATGAACAAAGATACTATGGAAATTAAGGATAAATTGTTAATATATGCAGGTATCAGGCCTTGGACAGGCTATTGCGGAAGATGAAAAATGGGAACCCTATTTTGCCACCAGTAACTATTATTTCAGGGATGATGGGAATTGTAGTCTGATCATATCCACAGATTCACAACCCCAGTTTTAAATATTGATTATATCCAAAATTAACCGATTTATTTTGCCACCTGACATCTTTGGCTCACTCCAGATGGCCTGACCCAGGGCAATCCCAGGCTGGCTCAACCCTACTTGGCCCAAGCCCAGATCCCCTTGAATTTGCCCAATTCCATTTGGACTTCAGGCTTTGACAGAATCTGGTACACAGCCCAAGCAAACAATCTGACTTTAGGCCGATCCATCCATCCATCCCTAGTATTGAGATATTTAAAAGGGGGAAATGTTTCAGGAAACAAGCAGACAGTATTCAAAGTCTCATCAGTTTCACGATGGCAGGACACTGTGGTTTTATTATGCTTTCCCCTTCTTCTGACAAAATTTCCTCATACCCAGTGAAATTCCCTTCAATCTTCTAACTCTGAGAAAACTCCACCTGAGCCTCTATGTTGCTAAAGATCCATCTGGCTTCATTACAGAGTAAGGAGGGGTTTGTGGTCATGGAGCCAAGTACGGTAATTACAGAAGTCTTCTTTGGGCCTTTGGGAAATTAAGTTGGTTTGCAATATGTACTTCCTCTCACAAATGGAAAGCCATCAGCCTCCGCAGATAGGAGAACCCTTGAAAATTAATAGTAAATAAACGAATAAATGAATAGCAGTAGTAATATGGGGACACAGGTAAAGTGGCGATCCCTTTGCCTCTGTACCCAGAGCCTTGTATAGGTGCCTGCAGCCACAAGTCCAACTTATGAGGGATGGTATTCAGATTGTAAGCTCCTCAGGCAGAAACCTCTGCTCTTGTACACTGGAAAGACCATGAACGTTGATGGAGTTATATTAAGTAATAAAGGTCTGGCTCAGAATTCTCCTGAGTATATCAGAGGTGCAGTCAGACATGAGGAATATTTTGTTAGCTTTCATTATTATAAAACTGCTGCTTCTGTGTGGTTTTCTAATATTCCTTTCATGCTTCTGTTATATTATGTTATTCAAAAAGAACTGTATTTCTTTCCAGCAACTTGACTGGATAACAGGGTTCTTTGGCAAATAATTCTTAAAAGCTCTGTCTCCTAAGGGGAGGAGTTACCTAAAACAATATGTCAACAGTCCTATTCAGTTGTTTTCCAAAATGAGCCTGCCATCTTTGTGATTATCTTGTATTGTCTTTATGAATCTTGTGTTTACTTGTATTGGTATATATTGTTGTTTTCCACCTTGATATTTAACAATAAACTAAATCCTGGAGGAGCCATTTTTGGATCTTGAGTTTTTCTGATTCTGTCTGAAGAAGAGCTCCATCAGCTTTCTACTAGCAGGTTCAATATTTAATTTGCACTGTTGCTTCACTTAGTTTCTGTTTCTATAACTTTGTATGATTCATATTAACATGAACCAATCTCCTTTCATCAGTGTGACATCTACACTTAAGCATTTCATCTACTGTTCTGATACATTCCCTATTTTCCTCCTGAGATCCATTAAGGGACCCCCCCCCCCCCCAATTAAGAACCACAGCTGAGGCACAGGAAGTTTTTAACAAGCTGGAAATAATTGATTAGCTTTGACACTTCATTCAGAATACGGATTTGATCCAATTAAATGTCACGTTTTGTGTACTACAGGGTGACTAAAAGGAATAATCAATGTCTATTTCCATGGCAAGCATTTCCTAGAATTTTTTTCCTGGTGTAGAAAAAGATTAGCAGGCTGCAGCCCCAGCCAACGATGCAGAAAACACGGACATCCAATCAGCAGTTTTTTGAACTGATCTTTGGAATGGGATGACCTCTTCTTGACCACATTTCCCTCTTTGGTATTTATGAGATGAAGGGGGCTGCTACCCCT